CTTTAGCTAGTGCGAACTATGTTATTGATAGATTGAGAGCCGCACGTAGAATGATGATGGGCTGTGAACCTCTCTTGGAGTCCGGTATAGGTAGTGAAGGCTTGGAACTTTCTCGACTTCTGGCGGTGTTTGATCCCACTTTTGAATTGTAAATTCGTCGATTATTTGTCGTGGAGTAAAATTGTATCGCGTTGAGATTCGACTTTGTCAACCATTCTACCTGTAAGTGAACATTTCTGTGCACAGAACCACCTCTCGACCACCCTCGTGCTAAAAGCGAACTTCGTAAATTGCGAGAAAGAAGTTTGCCTTGTGTTTAGTTATAGCAATCAGAATGGATGGATGGCGAATCGTCCTCCACAGAACCATAACCACCGAAACCTGTCGGCAGAAGAAGGGACCTCGACGAGTTCCATATCCAGGCTCCAGTGATGGATCCTTTTGTCAACGGCGAATTTCCCCTGCCCAGAAGCACCCTGTCCTCGAGTGATCCGAGCCATGATCATAAAAGGGAAGCCGGTCTGACGCCACAAGATGTCATCGTCAAAGCCCTTGCCAAGCTCGCCAATTTGACCACGGTCGAGATCCAGATAGCATGCTTTCACGCAGATCTTAGAGAAAAGGCGCCAAGGAAGCCAAGAGGCCAAGCGAGCTCATCTGCCTTGCTGCATGGTTTCATTCAAGAACAACTCACAGGTTGTAGCCTGAGCAATCGTATGTAAGAACCTGGACAACGAGAAGGATGAGAAGACATCCCTTGGGAATTACTAGCAAGCGGCTGAATGTCCTGGGTAGTGAAGTGACCCTAAGATCAAGCGGGACTGGGAATGTCGCGCTGGGGATTGGAAGGCTGCGTCCGGGTGGGTCATCTTGGCGGAAGGATTTGCCTGGCTGAACTACAAGCTCTTTAGGAAGAGGAAGTCCTGGCCGCAGAGACAGCCATACCGGTTCATCCACGACGAAGGCCTCCTCTCCGAGTGGCATGTGCCAGCAGCACCCAATGCGCCATGTTGATATTCTCCGGACTATCTCATGTACTGCCAGGCAGCATATCCTTCCCGTTTTCCCTACGAGTACCTTTAATCGAGGACGTCTATTATTGCAATAACGAAATTAACCACAGGGATTTGTCTCTTAGATCCTGAAAGAAACAGAGATCCCACGGGGTCTTTGGTGCAGAGATAAACGTTGCTCATAGGCTTGAATCGAAAATGGCGAAGAATGGCTAGCGTGCGAGAGACTTCGAATGATGAGCTCTACAGCAACCACATACATCGCACAGTTCACAGACAAAAAGTCCTCGCCAAAGCTTTGCATTTCTTTCTTCTTTTGAAAAGAATGGTCAATAAATATCATACTGTCAAAAAGTCCGTCTCGCCAAGGGAACTCGGAACGTGGGTCAGGTATCCTATCCTACGATATACCCCAGGGAGCTCGGAACGTGGGTCAGGTATCCTATCCTACGATATACCCCGAAACCCACGTGTATATATACTCTAGATGAAACAACTGAGGGACAAACGCCCACCCGTCACCCAATCTCATCATGCCAGCCTCACGCTCACACACACACCAAAATGTACACATGGGAATTACGCCTGAGAGAGGCATGCGATGAAAAAAAAAAGGGGGCAACCTGCCGAGGAGGAGAAATAGGAGGAGGCAGCCAACATTTCGCATGAAGCATGAAGAAAAGAAAATGAAGGAGGTAAAAAAAGGATAAAGTGAATAATGACCTGACAAAGTGGCTTTCCAATACTCATACAGGCGAATCATCACTAGTCCGGCCGCCGCCGCCGCCCCGCCCCCTATCATGCTGTTGGGCCCGGTCGTCACCGCCGCCTCCGTTTCCCCTCCGTGGTCCGTGAGCACTACTACTGCTCTCTGGCCTCGCCTCGTCGCGGAAGAACACGGGCCAGCTCCCGCTGCTGCTCGGCGGCGCACCCTCGTCGCCTCCGCCGGACCCCCGCCACCACTTGAGTTTCCAGATACCCCCAAGCGCCTCCTGCAGGGACGGTTGGCTGCTCTGGCTCTTGCGGCGGCGGCGAGCCGTGAAGCCCGGGAACCCGGTCGACTTGCGCCGCCTGCGGCCTGCGGGTCGACGCTGCGAAGGGGACTCGCTACTGGGGCCCGCCTCTGCTGAAGAGGATGTTTGGGGTTGGGTGCCGCTTGTGCGGCGGTGGCCGAGGAGGGAAGTCGACTCGGTGATGTCGGGCATCGTGCTTGATCGCCTGCGCGAGATGGGCGGGCTTGACGTATCGCGATCCTCGAGCTCGCCCCAGATCTCGGCACGTTCTTGCCATCTCCTGCCCTTCTTTGGACGGCTAGGCGTAAGGGGGGTTGTCTCCCCGCTCGCTACGTTAAATGTTGAGTATGTTACGGGTAGAGGGTCGTCCTCTTCGTGAAGGCTGTACAAGTCGTCGCCGCCAAGGAGGGACTCCTCCTCGTCTTCGGTGTCCTCCACGAGACCCAAGCCGGGCGCCAGGGAAGACTGGCCTACTCCCGGTGTATGTTGTTCGTCGCTAAGGCGCCATGATAGCGCCAGCACGCCTGATAGTAGGATGGCGGTGCCTAGAGCAATGAGTCCGCCGCGGAGGGGGCTGATAAGGTCGGTCTGGTTGAAGTAGATCAAACCATCCAAAATGGCAATGATGTTATAGATGCAAAAGACCATTGGATATAAGACCGACGTCGACACAAGCTTCAGGCCGCGGTGGAGGTAGTAGAGCTGGCTCAGGGCTAGGGTGACCAGCGCGAGAACCAGCACCCAGGCCTGCCAGTGAATAAACTGGTTGTCGCCGTCGGCAATCGTCTTAATGATGAGCTCGACCGCAGACTTGGCGACCAGCAGAGAGTGCGCGGACACGATGCCGCTTATACAGCCGTACGACAGGCCGCGTACGAAGCGGAATCGCGAATTGGTCGAGAGGCTCGTGAAGGCGTCGAGGCAGTCGATGGTGATGGCGATGGAGAGGACAAGCAAAGCCTGCATGATCATCCATATTACAAAGGATCGGCGGCCGAGCAGGCCAAGCAACTCCTGGAGGTTGTGCGCAGGAGAGGGGATGGCTCCAAAGACGGCGATGAGCACGGCACCGGCGCAGACGAGCATGGTGCCCCAGAGGGACCAGCGCGTGAAGGGCTCGTTGAGTATCAGGGTGGCGCATATCGAGTTGAAGACGAGGCCGGAGGCCTGAAGGGTCGACAGCACGGGGAGAGGGAGGGTCGAGATCTGGACGGAGCTACCGAGCAGGTTTGCGGCGATGAACATTCCCATTCCCAGCTGCCACCTGCCCCTCCGGTAGGGCGGCCTGCGTATTTCATGCGGGCCCTTTTCGTCCTCGAGGATGTGCGATTTTCGCTGTAGCGTCAGGCCGAGGCTCTGGACGCTGGTAGATAAGAGACCGACGATGATTCCGATCTGGAGAGAGGCTCAAGTGTTAGCGTCGCCTGTCACGAATGCAGGCTAGGTGAGATGAAGAGGAGGTGGACGTACGGCGATTGTCCCCCCGGGGGAGATGCCGCCAAGGGACCCCATTGCGCGCGCAAGAGCTAGCTGTCGGTCATCTGGCAGCGGTGGTCGAGAATGAAGCAGCGGCGTAAGGCCGTCGGTCTCATGGATTTATCTCGTGCTGTCCCTTGTATCTGCGCAACCGTTTGCCCTCCCTGTTGTGCTAGCGCTTTCGTGCCGTGTCTCTCTTCGCTGGATCCGGGGCCGGATGGCAATCGACGTCGGGGGGTTCGGGCGGTCGGACGCTTCTGCGGATGGAGGAGGGTAGTTGAGAAATGCTCAGGAAAACGGGACAAAAGTATGAGCCGTTGCGGGACGCAGAGGTGGTTGCAAAGTTGCCCAATAGCCCGCCACTTCTAAAAGGTCACTCCCGGCCGAATGATGATCTTTAGCCACCAAGACCAAGCTTGCAGCGAGATTGTACGTAGTGCTGGGGCGGATCGCGTTGCTCGGTTTCGGTCGGTCAGTGACGCAGAAACGCCAGACGGGGTAGGATTGTTGAAGATGTTTGCGTGGACTTTTAATGCGCGTTATAAAATACGGAGCTTCCACATGGCCGGAGTCGGTGAACACTTTGTTAGATCATGGCTCAGCTCGAAACACCAGACAGACGTACGTTGGCAATGCACGACGCAATGGCCGCCCGCTGTCCCGTCGGTCAGGTCTGGCCCAAATAGTGCTGGGCATGCCGGCTCTCCATTGATTTGCTTGCTGGCTTGTTGCGAATCGAATGGGGGGAAAGGCACCCACACCCCCAGTGAGCGCCCCAAGGAACACTAACGCCGCAACGCAGCGCAGAACGCACCACGCAGTCGGGGACCCTCCCGCCTCCCGCCTTGCATTATTCAGGTCAGGACCCAAGGTCACTGAGGTCCATGATGGCGCATGTGGCGGTGCGGATGCTTCTCGGCCCGGCCTCAGCTGACTGCCGGCTGTCGGCTAATCTTATCGCTGGTCATGCTGGGGCATCCTTGGGGGCTGCTTCAGAGAGGTGTCCAGTCAAGAAGGCCCTGCGTGATGTCACTGGCCCAGACTGATGAGAAGTGAGGCTGGTGCAGCAGAGCGAGCACCTCGCGCACAGACCAGTTCGGTCTGTGGCATCCAAAGTGGAGCAACTGTTCCACTGGTGCAGCAGCAGCTGTGAGCCAGTCAGACAGGTGCACCGTGGTGTCCGCCAGCTGTGGCTGTTCCCTACTGCCTGCCTGCTGTAGCGGTAGCGGTTCCTGTCCTGGGCTTGGAGCTGGGCCGGCGCCGAACGTCCAGTGATGCTTGCTTGCTGCTGCGGCTTGGAGCATCGACACTCGTCAACAACAGCTTCATCCAACCCACGACCCTTCTCCATCCCGCACCCCATCCGCCCTCCCCCCACGACCTCGACGGCTTCTTCAGCTTCATCCCGACCTTCCCGCGATCCCGAATCGCATCCTCTCCTCCTCGTTCCCGATAACCTAATCGAAGAAAGTCGCTCAACACCCCCCAAACCGCCAACATGTCGCACGCACCGTTGACCGACGACCAAGTAAGCTCCCCTCGTCCTCTCTCTATGGCCCAACGACAGCGCCTCCTCTGAACGCATCCGTCAATCAAGGTCAAATACTGATGCAATGGCTCACCTCCAAATAGGTCGGTCAGGAGCTCCGCAAGATGACGGCCTTCATCAAGCAGGAGGCGATGGAAAAGGCCCGCGAGATCGAGATCAAGGCCAACGAGGAGTTCGCAATCGAAAAGTCCAAGCTCGTCCGCCAGGAGACGGACGCCATCGACACCCAGTACGAGAAGAAGTTCAAGCAGGCCCAGATGTCGCTGCAGATCACCCGCTCCACCGTCACCAACAAGACCCGTCTCAAGGTCCTCGGCGCCCGCCAGGAGCTCCTCGACGACATCTTTGAGGATGCCCGTAAGAAGCTCGCCGCCGCCACTAAGGACAAGGCCAAGTACCAGGGCATCCTCAAGAACCTTGTCCTCGAGGGCCTCTACGCCCTCAACGAGCCCGAGGTCCAGATCCGCGCGCGGAAAGCCGACTATGACGCCGTCAAGAAGGCCATCGAGGAGGCGACCAAGGAGTACAAGAAGGAGGTTGGCAAGGACACCGCGGCCAAGATTGACGAGTCCGAGCCCCTGCCTGCGGAAAGGTATGTCACATACGCACGCGATTATGGTGGAATCTTATCTGACAGCATCACTAACGCTATCAACAGCGCCGGAGGAATCTTCATCATTGGTGGACAAGGAAAGATCGAAATCAACAACACATTCGAGGAGCGTCTAAACCTTCTCCAGGACACCTCTTTGCCCGCCGTGCGACAGACTCTGTTTGGAAAGAACCCCAACCGCAGATTCACCGACTAAAGTAACCAAACCCTTTTCCGAAATGCGCCCTGCAACCCTCCCTTCAGCCCCTCCTTGGGCTGGATAAACCATTGCTGCATGAAGGACTCCTGACGCCTCCTGTTTGAAACCTTCCTGTGGTGTATCTTAGATGCTGTATGATCGTGGCCAACCATTGGCGTATTAGGTAGTTGTCGTTATACTACAATTGCATTATCATTACCCTAATGCACTCACGAACGTCTCGTCGGCGTCCGAAGATTCTTCTTTCGTGACCTCTTTGTTCTTACGACCGTGCACAAACTTCTTCATAAAGTCTTGCTGTCTCCTCTTCTTGGCTGAAGATGGCCCCTGATCCCCAAAGATGCTCTGTGTTGGTGGGGGCCTAGTGCGAACAGAGTATGACAGGCGTTGTCCGACCCATTCAAGTACGCTCTTCGCCTCCGTACGAGTCAAGTTAGCCGCGCCCGTGTCATTGATGCCGCGCCAAATAGCTTTAAGACGCTGAGCCAGGTCATCTATCTCGGCGTTGAAGTTCTTCTCATGTTCTCGGTCATCCTTGTTCGAAGTGAAGGAGCCGTTGTCCACCGCCATGTCCAGGAGCAAGACCTGCGCCTTGAGGTCGGCGTAGTCGGTCTTGCGGCTGAGTTGGAAATCGCTGTCCTTGACCCGGGCGATGACGAGGCGGAGGGACATGGTAGTGTCTGGGTGCTGGTCGGCAAGCGCGGCGTCCCGGAGGAAGAACGAGACAGCCAAGCGTCTTCGAAGCTCATGTAGCTTTGACGAGGTGACCGGCATGCATGTGAGCGGGAGAATCCGCAGTGAAGCCTTGTCAAATCCATGATAGAGACTCGAGCAAATCTCAGTGCACTAGGCAATGTTAGCATGGGAAATCCCGTGTTCAGCAGGCTCACTTACGAATTCGTTCCAGACGCCATCTTGAACATTGTCCACCAGTTCGGCCAAGGCAAGTTGATGTGCCATCAGCACGTCCGGGTTCTCGATGACCATCTTATCAGCCGCCATACGTAGAAGCATATTGACTGCGTACGCGATGGTATCATGCCGAAGATATCGAGCTATGTTATGAAGCCACTCCAGGCATGACTGGAGAGGTTTCCAGTCTCGCTCTTCGTATATGTCTCGGATTTCGCGAACTGGCTGCAGCGTTTCATCTCCTATATGATCCGCAGCACCCAGTTGACGAAAAACCTCTGACAATTGTTTAGGCGTGATCAGACGTCTAACTTGTTTCTTGTTGGCAGCGGCAAGCCTGCAGTATTCCTCTCTCAGGACGCCAACCTTTTCGACATTCACCATGTTCAGAGCCCAGAGGTAGAGCTGATCAGGAAGGCCGATAGACGCTGCCAGACTGGTAGGCATCCCAGACATAATGTGTCGATCTCGTGTTCCTGCCTTTTCGAGGAACGACCAGGACCCCTTCGCGCTCTTTTTTGGGAAGGGCAGAGGAGTCTGAGCATCAACCTCCTTGAAGAAGTACCATCTGGTCTTGGAGCCCGATGTGTTGGTTCGCTCCATCGCCTTCATCGCTTTGTCTGCGTCTTCCTCGGTCTTGACGCCGGCGATCTCAATCAGCTTCTGGCGAGACTTGCTAGGGCTCGCGTCCACCATGATCTCGTCCTTGACCTCAACCTTTGGCGCCCGCTTGGGGCTGTCGAACTTGACGTCGTGTCTTCTTGAGTGTGCATCCAACGTCTTGAAGTCAAACTTATGCTTCGGCTGAATTGTCAAAGGCGACTTGTGAACCATAATCGCCCTCCTTTTGGCGCGCGGCGTGCCGCATGGGTCTGCCCCTGGTTTCCTCGGGCCCAACATATCGAGATCTGGCAGAGAACAGTCCGAGAACGAGTCATCGTCATCCTCGTCATCTGAGCCCTTGATCACTGCGTCCCTGTCCAGGGCAGTACGCTTTCTTGCTGTCGACGGGGAAACTGGCTCACTTGGAGAGCTGGGAAGGTCAGGCAACGATGGGAGGCTGCTAGGAGTGTCGTTGCCTGCCGCCTGTCCTGTTTGGCCGCGTTTGGGCGTGCCGAGCAGGTCGTTCCTCTTCAAAGATGATAACGAAGGTAGGTCTGCAGCAAGTGCCTCAGGTGGGCTCACGCTTGCAGGCTTTTTGCTTCCCGAAAATAATAGTCGTTTTGGTGTCGTCGCCTCAACGTCAGAAGACTGACCTGGCGTGGAGGGCGCAGAACTGAACCGGACCTTCCGCGCCGAGCCAGTGGCCCGCCCGGAGGGCGGCATATTCGAGTCCTTTGTTCCCGAACTCCTACGTCCGGGTGTGCGAAGCGAGGACTTCTGCGGTGAGAAGAGCGAGGATGTGGTGCGAATTTCAGATAATGAAGTCGAAGTGTGAAGACTGGCTGCTGCTGACGCTTTTGGAGCAGGCTGGGGCGGTGACACGCTGACCGTGATTGAATCGCCCGACTGATCAGCTGGCGGCTTCGACTTCTCGTCCCGGACCATGGACGCCCGTTTGCGTTTGCCTTGCGTCTGCCTTGGCGATGGCGCCTTCTTCACATCTCGGACTTGAGTGCTGGATAATGCGGTCGGCGGAAGTTCAGCGCCTGGGGACGAGGCCGGAGATGCAGAAGAAGCACCGGTGGCCCCGGTCTCTTGTGACGAAGTCAAGGTGTTTTGTGTCTTCTTGACAGCTGGTCTCGCACCGAAGAAACTCCTAATATCTCGGTTACTGTTTGTTGCGCCGGCAGCCTGGCCGCTGCTTCCCTTGGGACGTGCCATATCGGAGGTTACACCGACAGACAGATAAGCACAACGCTGCAGAAACCACCGATGATTTCAGAACGAGACAGACGAGGTGTACGGTGTATAATGCGACGATGTTGATGAGCTCAGTCACATGATTGCGCATGAAGCCGGTGCAGATGGAATAGGACGTCGGTGTAAGGTCCGACGCGTAGGAGGCCGTTTTCGCGTCGGTCGCCAAATGGCGGACCATTTTAGTGGGGAACCACTTAAGCCCGCACGCTTTCCCATCTTCTCACCCTTGCTTATGTCATCACACTGTTACGAGCAGGAGCCTTTCTTTGATATGGCGCAAATAGAATTCCGATGGGCATTGGGTTTCTGGGGAGAACTCGGTGGCGTAGTAATTGATTGAAAGCATGACAGGTCGTTGAATGACGAAGAGAAACATTCCTATGGAATTCGCAGGTGGTCCCTTTGTGGCAGCCTCAGCGCGTTTCAACATGTGGTGAGATGCGACATGGATGCTCCTCCAAAAGGCGATTACAACATTCCCCCAAATGAACGGCAACTGCGACTGACACCTGCCAGCAGGCATCAAGCCGTTGTAAGAAGGCAAGCGCCGCCTGCTCCATGCACGCTGGCTTGATATATGTCTACCGGTAAGGAAATTTGCCAACGGTGACGACTCGACTCGGCATGTCGTTGTCAGACGAACAGATTTGGCTGGCCCTTTCGGTGTCCGCAACGGCGGAGTCATCTCGGCATGCGAAATGCGACTACGGAACCACCGGCGACGGATGCCAAAATCTCGGAGACCTGATACAAATCGAGGATCATGACCGCAGAGAAAGGACGGCACGAACGGAAGCGGGCTGCTGAGCTTTCCATACTCCCGGCCCCCCTCCAAAAGGAACGCGGCCAAGAGAAGATGCCCGACGATTGCCAGCAGCCGCGAACCGTTGGAGACCGATGCTCTTCAGATTTTCGGTTTCAGGGGTCGGAAGGAGTCCGGAATAGGGGACATCGTGGTCACGGTGGTCGCAGTGCATGACGGCGCAGTTTGGGACTTTCCTGGGCGGCTCTGGGAAAGTATGGATGGCCTGGGAGTTTGTCTACGGCGTAGTTCTCGTCCCTTGTCTCCGCCCTCTTGCTGCACATGATGATGGAAGGTCACGGCCTGGAGACTGCGCTGGCCCAGACTTGCCCAGGCGCTCGGGACACTCCCAAAGCCACGCCGAGTTTGTCATCGGACCAAAATTTTGCTCAAGGAACCCTTTCGCAGAAACGGCGGTCCGGGTCAGAGGTGCATCGATGAACCTGTTCCAGGACCTTGGGCCGCGATCAAAGCGATCATCCCAGAAGGTTAATTCGACCCGTGTGTCCCGTGTAAGCCGCCCAGCCCAACCTCCTGCTACTTCGACGACCTCAGGTTTGGGGATGGGCATACTTCTCTCTCTGCACCACCGGCGAGCGTAGGGCAAGCCAGTGGCGTGGGCTCCCCAACTCAAGGCCACATCCTGCCTTCCCGCCTCCCATCCGGTGTCCTCCGTCTGTTTCTTGCGGGAGGGGCATGGCTAAGTTCGAGTTGCCCTCTGGATTGGATGAGACCAACCAATCTGGCGGGCGTGGAGGAATGTGAGCGTTGGGTCAGATTGGTTCCGCGTTTGAGTCTGAGTCGCACGAAATCCCCGGCGCAAATTTCGTGTAACAAGACGCGACTTGGAAGAATTCCAGAGCGAGAGCCCAGGAAGCAGAGCAGACAAGCAGAGCAACCGCCATCAGTAAGAGCCACCTGTCATATGTTTGGCATCTGGTCTGTCGCGTGCCGTCCGTTTTGTGCGTCGTTCCTCATGGATCTCATGGAAGGCCTGCAGCGATGAAGGGCTCGGCGTGTGAGGTCTAATCTCTCCTCATCCCCCACCCTCCTCTTCGTCCTCGGCGCGCAATGAGCTCCGTATGCGCCGTGGAAGCATGCCGCAAACTCGCCAGAAGAGCTGCAAGAAAAGCTGGCTGCATCCCCTGCAAAGGCCCGCCATTCCCCGTCCTACCTCCGAATGGGCATGTCGTAAGCCCCGAATGCCCGTCCGCATTTCCCTCCACTATTCCTCCATAGTCCAATTGCGATGTAGTAGCACGCTGATTGCCAGTGGGCGCCCCTTGACTCGGAGGCTTGACAACTCCTACGGTGGAGCCACCCTCGCAGATGGACTCGACTGAATGGCCAGACTGCGTGTTGATGGGCAGAGGGGAGATTTGGAGCTAACCTGCTGGCAATGCTGGCCGGCCCGGGTTTG